TGACGAATCGTTCTCTGGACTGACGAATCGTTCTCTGGACTGACGAATCGTTCTCTGGACTGACGAATCGTTCTCTGGACTGACGAATCGTTCTCTGGACTGACGAATCGTTCTCTGGAGTGATGAATCGTGAGAGTCTGCTGTGGATGAACTTGACTGATCTCAACCTGATAGAACACCTTTGGGATGAATTAGAGCGGAGACTGAGAGCCAGGCCTTCTGTCCAACATATCAGTATGTGACCTCACAAATGTGTTTCTGGAAAAATGGTCAAAAATCCCCAAAAATAAACTCCTAAACCTTGTGGACAGCCTTCAGAAGAGTTGAAGCTGTTCTAGCTGCAAAGGTTAGACCAACATCATACTGAACCTTATGGATTAGGAATGGGAGGTCACTTAAGCTTATATGTGAGTCAAGGCAGGTGAGCCAATACTTTTGGCAATATAGTGTATGTGGCTTTAAAACAGAGACTGAATACATATATGTGCAGCACTTTTCAGTTTTATGTTTGAAACTGTTTCTAAAGTGACTTTTTCCCTGTTTCGCTTCATCTGGAGGAGTTTTTTTGTAGAAATATTGCAATCCAAATCAAGTCTAGTTTGTAATCAGTATAGAAAGATTACCAGGAAGAATGGATAACTCTGCTGTCCAACAAAGGCCAGACAAACTGTCTTTGTTTGATTTGTTGTATTGTTTCATGTTTTAGGAGAGCGAGGAGCCAGTGGTGGACTGTAAAGTGGTGGATAGTGACATCTCTCCGAGCCGCACCGGCCACAGCTCTGTGACCTCTGGTGACCTGGGCGACATCAGCTCTCTGTCATCCAGAGCCTCTAGCCTTCAGCGCAGTTCCAGTGGAACAAGCAGCAGCACCGGCCTCACCAGGCCGGGCTTCATTATGCCCTCCAGCAGAGGGGCCAAATCCAGCAGGTACCGCCTCGACTTAAATCTGAGCATTYCTCTCCTATCTGTCCGTTTGTGTTAGCTGCATGCAGAGCCTTCACTCTTTCTTCTGATCTTCTGACACGTGGTTTCTCAGTGATTCACTGATCCTCACCTGCTTCAGGTTCATGTTGTCTCAGGCATCAGTCTGGGGTTGCTCGTATTTTGAAAAGCCCCCTCAGATCAGTGCCTGTACAACCTGACCGGCTCCATACATCCCCTCTGTGTGTCTGCAGTCCCAGGAGGGGAGGTGGGCATCAACAGAGGGGTCACAGGGGTCAAAGGGCAGGGTCAGTGGTCACAATGGGCAGAGGCAGCAGCACCTCCGGGTCCCGGGCCTTCATCCCGCTGGCCCCCAGAGGAAGGGCTAGAAGGGGTCGGCCCCCATCCCGCTCGTCCCTGTCCAGGTGAGTTCCCCCTGAGGCTCCACCCAGGAGACAGCGTGCTGCCAGWTTTTCTAACTATAAATAACCTTTCACTTTTCCTCTTCTTACTAATTCTGCTGCACCGAATGATCAGTTTGAGTCGTTTGCTTCATAAATCCCCCCAAAAGACTTTATTTTCAACAAAAAGCAGACAGATTTACATTTAAAAAATCTAACAATTTTAGCAATTATTTCATGTTACTTTTGCCGATACGAAAAATGCAGGAACAAAGCGAGGAATGTTTTTTTTTTTGTTTTGTTAAATATGAGTTGGTTTGTACGTAATGCTAACTAATGTAATGAGTACTGTTTTAAATATGATGTGAAAAAAATTAGCAGTCAAACCAACATGATTAAAGCCAGACAACCTTGAGGTTTTATCAATAAAAACTCTACAGACAGCAGAACGTTTAGAACAGGGGGTTCTTAACCTTTTTGACCTCGGGGCCCAATTTGTTGAACATAAAGTGGCACAAGGCCCAGTCAGACATTACCAAAGTACGGATCAAAATGATAATTATTCTAAGTCTTGCTTTAATGTGTATTGTATTTGCATTATACCTAAATTAAATACACTTACAGTTTAAAAGTAAAACTCCTGTCGAATAATCACAAGACATGATTATGACAAACATTATTTATATTGTAACCTGCCCATAACAATTATTTAAACAAATACAACAGTCAGTCAACAGACCGCTCAGGCTTATCAACACAAAAATACATATTTTTTTTAACATAAACAATAAAAAATAGACATTTCAGTAAATAAAATTGTGGTCATAAAATAAATACATTCAAAGTGTTCAATTAATGTTTCCAAAAAAAAGGAAAACTACATTTGATAAAGTACAAATGAAAATATAGCCTTTTTAAACTTTTGCATGGTAGAAACAGAAGCTGCTCTTCATATCACTGACAAACAATAACAGTAACAACAGCTTCTTGAAAAGCTTAAAGTTTCTGTAAAATACATTTAAAATGTTTAAAAAATAAACTACAAAAATTAATTTGATAAAGTGCAAATTAAAATATAGCTTTATCTGCAAATGTTTCATAATTTTTTGAACTTTTAAAGTATTTATGGTAGAACTAGAAGCTGCACTTCATATTAGTGACAAACTTTGGCTTTTTTGATGGGTTACCTTCATTTTTGCTTCTACTTTTCATTTAAAATAGGTTTCCATTCTCTGTGGGTTTCTAAGGTTCTTCTTCTACTTATTAAAAAAGTTGTTAAACATCTGAGTGGCGCACTACCGCTACTAGTGGTGAGAATTTGTATTGCACCTTATTCAAAATCAATGTGGTCTTGCATCCCAAAGTAAAAAACTGTTGTTGTTTTGAGGCCCTCAAGGTGGCGCTGCGGCCCACGGGTTAAGAATCTGATTTAGAGGAAATGAGGCTGATATTAAAGTGGCAGCTGGACTGCGTAAAGTCTGCTGTTTGAGAGGACTCTGCTTTTCTTTTAAAGGGGTGGTGGTGTCGGCTCGCTCCAGAGACTTAGCAGCCAGATGCACTCCTTCTCGGAGGACGAGCCCTGCACCCAAATGTTGCCCCCACGTCTCTCTGCCAGCCCCACAGACCCACTCAGCCGTTCGGACTCCCTCAGGTCGTCGCCGGAGGAGGGGACCTCGGCGGGCAGCAGCTTTGTTGGCCTGCGAGTGGTCGCTAAGTGGTCGTCCAATGGCTTCTTCTACTCGGGCCGCATCATGAAGGACGCTGGCGAYGGGAGGTTCCGCCTTCGGTTCGATGACGGCTACGARTGCGAGGTAGCGGGCAAGGATATCCTGCTGTGTGACCCCATCCCTCTGGAGACGGAGGTCACGGCTCTGCTGGAAGACGAGTACTACAGTATAGGTGAGGACAAGGAGGAAATGTAGGATGTTTATGGCTTTGTGTTTAGTTTACAGACTATTRTTATTGAATCCRCTATAGTTTCCATGCTAGTGTCACTAGCTGGGGCTGAGAGTTTTGTATTATGAGACGTACATGTTTAAACACTTCAGTCTTAACTGGTACATCCAACATGATGACATTTCACATCCTCACAACCCTTCAGTGGGTCAGAGGATTAGATTTATTTGCTGAAAAGGGTGAGTACACAAACAGCACTGTGCTATCTGCCACTGTAACTGTTCTACTCAAACAAGAACAAAAACCATTGATGGCCTGATGTCCATAGTGCACACACTCAATTTCACACCAAACCATCGTTTCCATAAACCTCTCTGACCTGGGTTCAGAAAGCTTTGGTTTCAGAGAAAGGGTTATCTTGTACACGAATGGCTGAGCTGCATCAGAAAYATTAAAGTTTCACACAAAAGTGACATCAGACTTGTGATTCTCATTTACAAAGATCCAGAATCGATTTAAAATGTCCCAAAATCAATAAAAAATGACATAAATAAAGCAAATCCAGTGTCTGTCAGCCTCCATTAAGTGACTAYGTGAGTCGTCTTGATGTCACCACAGCTGCTTCTGGAACGTATGCATGAGCAGAGAATACCAAAACAAAACCTGAGGAAAGAGATTCAACTGGCCTCGTCTTCACTGAATGCAAAGATTAGGGCTTMTTTAGGGTTTTACTAGTGCTGGGTGTAGATTAAAGCTTTTAATGGCGATTTATCTCCAGATGTTTTTGTGATCAATCGCAAATAATTGTTTAGAAAYGATCACTACTATGGTGGAATGTGTAGGTTTGTATGTTGCAATACGCTTCACATGTCACACATGTTTTCTTTTTGTTTTTCTTATTATTTTTATGGACTAGTTTATTTTAGGTRTTTTTTGCTRACAACTGTGACCTTAGTATCCATCTTTTATTCCTCATGTAGTACTCATTTGGAATGAAAAAAACAAAATATCATTGAATTCTTGATTWAACTGCACAAAATGTAACTGACTCAAAGATGTTTGGAGCAAAAGTCTTAAACCACTCCTATTTCGTATTCTGGTCAAAGTCTGATTTAAAATCCCATTGTAGGTGTGGTGAAAGGCCATAAAACAGAAGGTCAGGATCTGTTCTACAGCGTGGAGAAGGATGGCCAGAGGCAGTGGTACAACAGGACAGCAGTCATCCTGTCTCTGGAGCAGGGAAACAAGCTGAGGGAGCAGCACAGCCTTGGACCCTACGAGCCCACCACTCCATTGACCAAAGCTTCTGACATCAGTCTGGGTAAGAATGACTTGATTCACTGCTGACAACTTCCCAGTAAGAAAAGTAGCTCTTGACTCTCATAAAAAAAAGCTTCCTGCTTTGTAAACCAGGGTGGGAGCAGTGGTCTGCAGGGGTCTCAGTGAGTCGGACCACTTGTCAGAGCTTTGGAAGGCTGGAGGCTCTTCAGGTTCTCATGAGGTTGCTGGATTGTGTTAAAATAAACGAGTTACCTGCTGTTTTTTTTTTCTGTAGATAACTTGGTGGAGGGGAAGCGAAGGCGCAGAGGAACCCCCGGGGGTCAGAACACACGGAGCCGCAGCCCTCGGACCCCCGGCACCTCCAGCAAAAGGAAGCTGATGTCCGAGGAGAACCGGACTCCGTCCAAGAGAGGACGCAGAGGAGGCGGAGCCAGAGCTGGTACGGGGATCCGCCCACCAGGACCATGACTGTCTTTGATTGGGGGAGGGGGGGGTGGGTGTTTTACTATCAGAAAAACCTTAAAACAGTTTTTAACATGAATTAAGTGACCGGGGGATTTTAATGTTTTTATCTTTTTTAAGAAAGATTTGATGAAAAATGRGTTTTAATGTTTTTCTATCATGCAGTTGTACTTTTTAATGAAGCATATTTAACAGTTGTTCTGCAGTGTTTGTTTCAGTTGTGTGGTTTCATGTTTGTTGAGTGTAACTGAGACATTTTGACATCCTTGTTGTGCGCGTCCATCCATCCTCCTGTTGGACGCCTGCTCCTGAGGCTGACCTGGTAATCAGCAACATGCTGCAAATGGTGGGGGTGTTGGTCCACTGGTGGAGGGGAAATYGGTGTTTCATGGGTGGAAAAACTTTTCTCTTTATTTACATTTAATAAATATCAGTTTGTTTAAATAGAARAAGTCACAAACAGCACCTGCTTACACTGATGTATTTGTGAGAACCAATCAGGATGTTTAGTTGATAAAAAAATACAATTGAGCAGAAGCAGTCTTTACTGTGCAGAAGTTTTAATCCAGCCTTTATTTCTTTATATTATGAGTCTGATTTCTGTTTAATCTTTTAATGTGGTCTTTAGGAATATTTTCAGTTCTTCTAAAAGTCTTGTTTTGTTTTTATCAGGACAATTATTAGCCTTTTTTCCCCACTCATTTTAGTTCTCAGTTTGAACTTGATAAGGATTTTTATTTTGTTTGATTTTGTTTAATCCACCTAAATCTGATTGATATGCTCCAAAACTCGAGGAGAACCCAGAAACAGATTTACCATAAAAAACTCCAATCATTTGTTGAGTCAGTGTCCCCCTGCAGAGCCTGCGTTCACCCAGCCTTCCAGAACCGTGAGGACCGGGTCGATGGCTGCTGAAATGAGACAGTTCAGCTTTTAGSAAACGTCTCTGTCGCCTAGCAGCTGAGCAACACGTGCTGTGACAAATGGAGAATTTTACAGACAAAATTACCAGAATTAATTSACTTCCTCTGATCCATGGTCAACTCGTTGAGACGAGAAGTTTCAGACATCTCTTACCAACACTGCAGTGTTTCACGGAGTAGATTCATAATCCTTCCTGCAGGTTTTGGGTCCACTCCTGACCTGCCCAGAAAATCTGTAGAGGGCAGCGGCCAGGAATCCTAACCTGATCACCAAACAAGTCTTTTGATTTAGAGGAGCATTGGACACGTGTCCAAATCAAAAGTGAAAAACTGAAATTTTTTATTTTTATTTTTAGAAAGTTTGTGAAAAGATCAGTAAAGACYACTTCAAAAAAGTTCTGCCAGCTTAAAGTGCCTGTGACATCAATTTTTTTGTGATAAACATGAATGCATTTTTGGAAAGARAACATTGATAAAATATTGCAAAACAAATTTCACGCTGCTGAGATGAACAGTTGTTGAGATATTTGCATGTGAAGAAACAGGAAGTGATGTCAAAGGGAATGTCAGCATGTGAACAGAGCGTTGCTACAACAGCCAACAAACAGACTGTGGAGAAGAATCTGATGTTTCTTTAGATTATTTTGAGTTTCTATCAAAGAGAGATGAAGAGTTAAAGTTTAAATAAAATTGTTTTAATAAACAAAGACCAGAGATTTTATTTTAWTGAGTTCTCCTTTGATGTCACTTCCTGTTTCACTTTGGCTGAGCCAAATCCAAAAGAAAATAGGCCAGTTATGTGACAAAATGTGTTAAATCATGAGTATTTTGCCAATTTTTTAAGAATAAAGATGCTTTCTTGACTTCTTGTGTTTGAAGGACAGGCATGTCACAGGCTCTTTAAAGCTCAGATATAAAGAAATAAAGACGGACTCAGGCTTCATCTCAGTTCTGTTTGTATTCAGGTTTGTTGTGTCGGTCAGTTCTAAACTTTATCGTCTCTAAATGTCTCTGTCTTCAGCTCAGCGGGTCAGCATGTGCAACACCTCCGGCAGCGGCACAGATCAGCCGTGTCCATCAGACGACGTGGCCGAGACCCACGGGCCGCTGCCTCAGAACACGTCTCTGTTCATGGGCTTCGCCTTCATGCTGACCGCCTCGTCTGAGAGCGACCGGATAACCAACAGGGTCTGCAGTGAAGAAGAGGAGGGTGAGGCAGATACCTGCTATTCAGATAAACTAAGTTTAATGTTCAGCAGAGCTGCAAACATCACAGAAGATACAAAGCTCTTTAAGAACCATCATGAAAGACTCTAGAAAATGTTGAAGTTTGTACTGAAATGATGTGAAACAATGTCTGACATAATGAAGGAAGTGAACTAATAGAACACCTAAAGCTTGGGTTATAATTCAATACGACGTCAGACAGCAGGTYGGTGATTGCGTCATTTCAGACGTCTTTTTCCTGACCAAGTATAAACAGGCTGAAGATGCAGCGGAGCAGAAATGATCACAATTCCTCCCTCTGCTCATACAAGTATATAAACAATAGTGATGGCTGGATATTGATTATTTTCTCTCACACTGTGTTGTGTTGGGTGAAGAGTTAATTTTTTTTTTGTTAACGGTGGTGATGGTTAAAGTGTAACTTACCCCCCGTGAAAAGATAACTCCGCCCCAAGGCGAAATTTGAAAAATGCATCAAAGTGGGTAGGGGA